TTGGTACAGGGTTTCACTATGCAACTTGGACTCCTAGTGATCCTCTGTTTTTAGCCTCCCAGGCACTGGGATTACAGGTGTGTGCCACCACACCCGGTCTTGGTGTCTGGCTCAGTGTGACCAGGGACAGGGTCTGAGCAACATGTGGTTCCGGGGATCAGACCCCACTCTCAGGCTGGGGATATAGCTCAGTTGTACGGTGCCTGCCTGACAAGTGCAAGGTCTTGAGTTTGATTCCCGGTACCAAAAATAAAAGTTGAAAAAAAAAATTCCTGATCAAACCCTGGTCTCTGTGCTTGCCTGATTCTAAGAAGGGTAGGCAGAGAGTGTTACGGTACAACAGTGTTAGGTGGAGTTATCCTTTCACCAAGTTGCTCACAAGTGCATGAGGAAGAAGACAGTATTTGAACAATTCCACTCGGTTTTCATGTTTACCGTAGAGACCTCACAATAATCCAATACCGAAGCACCAAGAGATTGCAGAACTTCTAAAGTCACAGGCTATCAACTGGCAGAGGCAGGATTCAAAGCCATCCAGCCCATGAATCCCAGTCATAAGCACTCTGAATGCAGTTCCCTCTGCGAAATACAGATTTCTTCTACTTAATATGACTTAGCAGGTGCTATGGTTGGGTCTAACAGCTTCCCCAAAGGCGGCTTGCTGGAACTTGGTCACCAGCTGATGGGCCTTCGGGAAATGATCAGGCCCTGGGACTCCACATCAGAGGATGAATCCATTCATGATGAAGCTGCTGTCCTGTTGGGAGGGGATGAGAACTTAGCTGGGACCTACTTGGCGAGAATGGATCCCGAGGTATGGCCTACATTTGTCCCCCTCCCTCTCCCTCTCCTTCCTAATCGCCAAGAGGTGAACATCTTTGCTCCGCCATGTGCTTCTGCTACCATGATACTGTGTCACCATTGGGCCTTAGTAATGGACCCAGCTAACCATGGACTGAAGCCTCTGAAACCCCTAGCCAAGATAACCTCTCCTCTATGTTTCTTGGGTATTGGCCACAGGGATGCAGAGCTGAATGACATAGCAGGGTCATCCTCTTCTTGAATGACATTGGGCCCAGCATACTGGGAATAAGGATTTTTTGTGTTTCCTCCAGAGTGTGCCATCTAGGAAGGGGAAGTAGAAGCAGCCCTGTCTCCTCTGACCTGGCCTTAGAAGCTGCTACTACCAGTCCTTGCCACAAGGACTTAGAGGTCATACATGTTCACTGTAGGAGAGGACCACACAGGAGTATGATGCAAGCAGTTGAGGCCCATTAACTCATTTCTTTCTTGCAGCAGATTTTTTTCTTTTTTAATATATTTAGTACAGGGTCTACAGGGTCTCACTACACAGTTCAGACTCATAGCGATCCTCCTGTTTTCAACCTCCCAAGTGCTGGGATTACAGGCACCCGCCACCATGCCGTCTCAATCGCCATCTCAGAGTGCCCTGGGGGTGGGGCTGGCACAGCACGCTGGAGATTGAATGCCTGCCACTGCATTCCGCTTAAGCAGGCGCTTTAGTCTGCTGTGTTGTCTGACTGGCCCTGCAGAACATTCTTTCTTTCCTTTCTTTTCTTTTCTTTTCTTTTCTTTTCTTTTCTTTTCTTTTCTTTTCTTTCTTTCTTTCTTTCTTTCTTTCTTTCTTTCTTTCTTTCTTTCTTTCTTTCTTTTTTTTTTTTTTTGGTGGTAGCAGGGATCAAACTCAGGGCCCTGTGCTTGCCAGGCAAGCGCTTATTCCACTGAGCTATCTCCCCAGCCCCATACTATTATTTTTATCTTATTTTATTTTATTTGGCTAATTCAGGCTGCCTTAAGGGTACGTCTGGTGTGGTTTGTGGAGCCCCGGATGGAACCACAGTCCCCTGCTCCTGACTGCATTTGCCCAAGCAGCGCTTTAAACAACTGAGCTATCTGCCAAGTCCCCAGCAGCAGATTTATGAAGCCAATTTATAATTTTCCTAAAACAGACAAGGAAATTGAGCATCACAATAAGGAGGCACACAATCAAAATTGGAACACTGGTCCGTTTGACTGCACAGGTTTCTGGACATTAGACCTAAATACCACGGCCATAAAAGGGAGCGGTTAGGAGTGCAGGCCAAGCCTCAAGTTGGCCCCGGGGGTCCTCAGCTGCTTGCATCATACTCCTGTGTGGTCCTCTCCTACAGTGAACATGTGTGACCTCTAAGTCCTTGTGGCAATGACTGGTGGTAGCAGCTTCTGAGGCCAGGTCAGAGGCGACAGGGCTGCTTCTACTTCCCCTTCCTAGATGGCACGCTCTGGAGGAAACCGGCTGTGGAGAACGGAAGCAGATCTGGGGGAGTCCTACGCACTAAGATGCACCACTTTGCACCACTTACCCCACCCCCATTTGAATTGCCAAAGGCCCAAGCGCCTCTGTGGAAGGGCCTTCAGATGACTGCATTCAGATCAACATAACAGCCTCAAGAAACACCCTGAGGACTGGGGAGATAGCTCAGCGGTCTAAGAGCCTGCCTGGGTAGTTCAAGGACCTGGGTTCTATCCCCAGTACCGCATGCTGTGCAGACCCTGTGCTGTGCCAGCCACTGAAAGTACCAAATACATAAATCAATCTTTTTTTTAAAAAAAAACAACAACACCCTGAGCCAGAATCACCAGGAGTTAAGCCACTGCTGGCTCGCTGACACACACACAGAAACTGGGGGAGATGAGGTTCATTTCTGCTTCAAATTACCAAGCCCTCGGTTGGAGGCAGCGAAGATAACAAACACATTAGGCTTTTGTAAAAATAGGTGTCCTGATATTGTTGGATCCCAATATTATCTGGAATGGAGATGTTGAAAACATAGATAGGGCATTAATTTGTCAATTTTTAGATTTTAAAAATCATTTATCTATTTATGTGGCACAGGGTCTCGATGGGATTACAGGTGTGCACACTATCCCTGGTTTTGGAGGCAGGCATGGGGCACCCAGGGTTCAGGGGCCAGCACAGTATGTGGTACTAGCGATTGAGCCCAGGTCCTTGCACTTGCCAGGCAGGCGTTAAGACCACCAAGCTATCTTCCCAGCCCAATCTGTCAATTTTAATATTTTTAAATAAGTGGGCATTTTCTATCCTTGCTAAATTTCATAGAGGTACTTATATATAAGTATGGCATACATACAAAACTTGTTACTGGGCCAGCGAGATAGCTCAGTGGTCTAAAGCACCTGCTTAAGCAAGCTTAGGCAAAAACGCAGGGACTGCGTTTCGATCCCCGACACCACATGCCCCACTAGCCCTGCCCCCAGGGTGGGCTGAGCTGGCCACAAAAAAAACTTGTTATATATGGACTATAATTAGTACAATACACAAATATAAATGAATACACAGTGTCGCTCTTTAATTAATTTAATACATGTCTTTAAATTTAATTGTCGCTCTTTATTTTATTTCTTGGCCCACACTAAGAATGGCCAGGGAAATAGTGTCATTCATATCCAGGAGAGCTGGGATCCCCGTCTCTAGGCTGGTGGTCAAGTGTCTCTGGCTGTCCTTCCTCTGCATCATCTATGAAGCCACTTTCTGCCTTGGACTCTCTGAGTGGGAAAAACTGCTACTCTTGTCAGAGGTTTGAATGACAAATGCATGAGACTATTTTCTCCTTCCTCTTCTGAAATCAATCAAACTTTAAAATTTAAGTATGGCGTCTATGGCTGTAAAGTTCCCCGGCCTTTTGGACAATTACAATGCTAACATATATTAAACTAATCTTGAGCTACAAATCCCGTGTAACTTGCCAGGTACTTACAGCAATGATTAGTAACCTTGCATATAGCCAAATCTCTGTTTCTGAATTCTAATTTACGGTTTCATATGGTAGGATCACTAAAGATTTAGGTTTATTTAAAAGATTTAGCTAGATTTAAATATTTCGTACATGAACAAGAACACTGTAAAATATTTAATACATGTCTTTAAAGTTAAAATTTAAAGCCAATTTCATAAATTTAGAATGACCATTACTTTGCCTTTCCGCATGTAGATGGGAGAGGAGAAAGTGTAATTAATCTTCTTAATTTTGCTCTAAAAAGCTATGAGATTGTCATAGGAGCTCTGTCATTCCATGGTGACACATGGCCCTGTGGTTTGCCAGCTCTTTCTAGCTTTAGTGACAGTCTTTCACTACCACCAACTAGGAAACAGAAAGGATTTCTTTCAAAAGCACTGATATACAAAACTTTTCCCTTTGACAACACTGGTGATGCAATATTTTACTATATGCAATATAACATCTTTCCTTTAATTCAGGTATGACTATAATATGTATGTAGATTCTTTTCACATAGGTGTCAGAAAAAGTTCAATTCAATTCCTTGGAGTGAGATCCCATGGCATATGAATAGAGCTCCCCAGGTTCTCTCTGTGTAGTTTAGGCTGGCCTTGAACTCCCCACATAGCCCACACTGACCTGAAACTCACATTGGTCCATCTGCATCAGCCTCTCAAATTCTGGGATTATAAGTGTGCACTATCATGCCTAGCTAACATAGTTCAGTTCTTTAAAAATATTGTCATGTTATTTCCAAGAGTGTCATTTAGATTTATCAGCCAGCCAGTAACATTTAATCCAAAATATTGCATATACAGTCAGCCCTTTATAACCACCAGTTCTACATCTGTAGGCCAACCAACCTCAGATCAAAACTATTTAAAAAAATACTACCTGTACTGAAAAAGTACACCTTTTTCTTGTCATTATTACCTAAACAATAGGTTAGAGCAACAATTTACATAGCTTTTACATTGCATTGCGTATCGTAAGTAACCTAAAGAGAATTTAACTGCTTCTTTGTTTTGAACAAAGAATTGGACAAAACAAGTGCAAAAAAGGTAGAGAGATGTCACATTTATTAAAGGTAGGAAAAGGAACTTTAGAGTGAGTGCAGGACAATTGAAAGTAGATGTACACTCTGTGAGAGAGAGTGGACCACTGTGAAAGAGAGAGTACAGCGGTCAACACTCTGTGAGAGAGTGGACCGCTGTGAAAGAGAGAGTACAGCGGTCAACACTCTGTGAGAGAGAGTGGACCGCTGTGAAAGAGAGAGTACAGCGGTCAACACTCTGTGAGAGAGAGTGGACCACTGTGAAAGAGAGAGTACAGCGGTCAAGAACTTAGTGGCAGCCATCTTTCATATCTCCCTCTCCTCAGGCTGGTGTCAGGTCTAGGCCATCCTGCGAAAACCTGCTTGAGTTCTTGGCAGAACTGAAGAGAGCCCTTTCTGATTGGTGCCAGGGGCAGGGCTTGGCACACGTCTCCTGGATATCTGTGATTGGCAGATCATACCATGTTACCAGTCCTAATCTCTGGCCTTGGGTGTGCCAGGGAAGATACTTGACCCAAACCAACTGACTCAGGAAAGACTTCCGGAAGAAAGGGATGCATAAGCACAATCTGAATGCCAAATTGGTTGCTATGTGGAAACGAAGCAGGGAGGTCAGAAATGGGGAGGTCACTAGGCCTTCGGCAAAAGCCCAGAAGAACATGGCTTGGGCGAGGTACTGCAAGAAACCCAATATAGTGGTATCAAGTAATATAAAAGAAAGAGCCAGAAAGACTGGGTGATTAGAAAATGGCAGACACGCAAAGACTAGTTAGAAACTTCATGCTGAGGGCCGGCCAAATAGCTTAGTGGAATAGTGTCTGCTTAGACGCAGGGGCCGGGAGTTCAATCCTCAGGCCTGCCAGGCCAGCTCTGACCCTGGGGCACGTTGAGGTGGTGTTTGAGACTGGGTTTGGTGGCACATGCCTGTAATCCTGGCACTTGGGAGGCTGTAAACAGGAGAATCACTACTAGTCTGATCTACACAGTGAGACCCTGTACATCCTGTCCTAAATATAAAATAAATAAATAAGGGCCCCAGGGAGATAGCTCAGCAGAATAAGCACTTGCCTGGCAATCACAGGGTCCTGAGTTCAATCCCTGGTACTGCAAAAAAACCCAAAAAACCCAAAAACCAACCCCCTCCCAACTTCATGCAGAGAATCATGAAAAGTGTATTAGTCGCCTATTGAATGATTTTAATAGGGAAATGACACAAACACCCTCATGTTTTAGGAAGACTACTCCAGTTTTAGACAGGAAAATGGATTTGGTAGTGGGATTGGGGGTGAGGTATGGAGACATGACAAGAATTTCACATTCTGATAATCCACATGAGACAGAATGGTGATTCAGGGTGAAGCTCAGATGGCAGCAGGGACGGCCCTGTGGCCCCAGCCTGCAAAGGCTAAATGGTTACAGTTGTTTGCCAGGGCTGGCCTAACGAAGCACCAAAGACTGGCTGGGTGACATTTAAAGAACAAAAGCTAACTTTCTCATAATTCTGGAGGGAGGATTATCTCATAATCTCATAATTCTGTCTGAGATGACACTGTTGGGAGAGTTAGTTCCTTTTGTGGCTTCTAGATGACCTCAGCTCATTGAGGACTGTCCTCGTCTGCGTCCTTCCGCTGCACCTGTGCGTGCCTGCTTTTTATTTCCTCCTCTTCTAAGGATCCTTTTTTGTACTGTGTGGAACCTTTCTGTGCCCTTATTTTAATTGAGCTGCCTTTTACATAACCGTATTTTCAACTATGTGCTGAGTTCCTGGGAGTTAGAACTTCAACATATGAATTTAGGGGGTTACAACTCATTCCTTAAAATGGTTGAAAAGTATAAAAACAAAAACAGTCATTTAAAATCTCTGGAAATGAGCTGCGGAGATGGCTCAGTGGAGTAAGCGCTTCCCAGGCAAGCCCAAGGGCCTGAGTTCAATCCCCGGTTCCACCAAATAAATAAATAAATAAATAAATAAATAAAAATCAAATCAAATCTCTGGAAACTACCCTAAAGGCAGAAGGTTAAAATCCATCAAAAGGAAGTTAGAACAATGGGAATCTGTGGCCTTTAAGCCACCACAGACTCTTTCCTGCTGACCCCACCCCTCTACTGGGCCTGGCCCAGGCCACAGGCTCCCTGCCCCCCTGGCTTCCAAAGAGATCCAGCATCTTACCAGGTGGGAAAAGCCACCCACACTTTTGCTCTCCTTTCTCCCTCCTGCTTTGTTTGGGCCTACTAGATACTAAAGCCAGGGAGTGCTGAGTTACATTCCTAGCCTCAATTATTTTGTTTTTTATTTTAAAACAGGGTCTTGGTAGTTTGCCCAGACTTTAGACCTGCAGCCCTCTGGCCTCAGCTTCCTGAGTGGCTGAGATAACCAGTGTGTGCTGCCACCCTTGCCCCTAGGAGCCTTTGCATTCACCCAACTCTGTGAATTCCTGGGGAGTGGAATCCCACGCATAGACTGAAAGCTCTATTCTGGGAGCAACCGACAGAGAATATCAGGCCCCCCAACCACCCTGACTGCACCTAGTTCATGCAGCAGAGAACCCGCCCAAAGAAAAGGCCTGGGAGGCCAGAGTGCATGGCTCTGCCCAGTGCCCGCAGTAGTGGCCAAGAGACTGCCTCGGGAAGGAGACAGTCCATAAAGATAAGAGAATACCAAACTCTCTCCAAAGGAACTGACTTCACCTGGAACAGTATGGGCTTATCCAAGCCCAGCAAGTCACTCTCGAAAACAATGACTTCCTCTCATTAAGAGCAAGAAGCTAACCCATGTGCCATCTAGTTTGCCAGAGAGAACCTGAAAGGAGACAGCTAAGAGCCACCCTGGAGTTAAGACAGATCTTAGAGACAGGTCTCAGATTTTACTGGATCAAATTAGGAAACAATGTATGCACCCAGGAAGTTTTTTTCAGTAGAAAATCAGCCAGGCCTGTTATAACAGGAGGTCAGGACACCGAAGGGGGACATTTGGGCAACAGATCACCCAAGGGAGCCCTGGCAAGCTGGATCCTCCCGGTTGGTCTGCACTGATGACCACAGCGTTGGCCTTTGAGAACTCACAGCAAACTAGCCTCGCTGAAGCATGTATGAAACAGGGAAATGACAGCCACACACAAGTCCCAGAGGGGAGAGGGAAGCTAGTCTAGAGTTACTGCAATGTGTTACCTAGATGTCATCTTCAACAAAAAATTAAACATCGTGCAAGAAGAAACAACGTCACCCATCCCCAGGGAGACAAAGGGAAGTGATAGAAGCTACCCATGAGATGGCCAAGATGTCAAATTTAACAAAGATTTTAAAGCATCAACTATAAACACATTCAAAGAACATGAGGAAATGGCGCTTAAGACTTAAAGTAGCTGAGGAAAGAGGTGGACAGAAATAGCAAGAAATTGCTCAAGAAAAGAAAAAAAAGAAAGAAAAGAAAAAGACAGACAGACAGGAAGAAAGAAAGAAAGAAAGAAAGAAAGAAAGAAAGAAAGAAAGAAAGAAAGAAAGAAAGAAAGAAAGAAAGAAAGACCTGCCAAATAAGTCAGAAGACTAAATTGCCTGGGGGAGAGGGGTCAATCCCGGGTGTGCTGGCCCCGCCCCCCGGGGAGGGCTGAGACAATGATTGAGACTGGGCTTGGTGGTGCGTGCCTATAATCCCAGCACTTGGGAGGATGAAAACAGGTGGATCACTCCGAGTCCAGTCTGTGTAGTGAGACCCTCTAGACCCTGCACTGAATACATTTTAAAAAAGGAAGAAGAAAGAAAGAAATTGCTCAGGAATTTGTTTCTATCTGGGAGGGGTGAAAATGCTCTGGGTTTGATCGGGATGGTGGTCGTACAACTCTGCAAACATTTAAAAAATCACTGAATGGTGAATTATATAGTAGTATGTGAAACACTCGCCACACTGAAAAGAAATCCTATACACTCAAAAGAACGATCTAGGGCCGGCGAGATAGTCCATTTTAACCAGGTGTGGTGGCGCACCCTTGTAATCCCAGCACTGGAGAGGCTGATAGCAAGAAGATCACTAATTGTCTGAGTAGCTAGTGAGACCCTGTGCCAGACACATTAAAAAAAAAACAAAACAGACAGAGAGAGAGAACAGTCTAGGTCAAAGTGATTGTAGTAAGATGAAGAGGTGGATATGAGATCAATTTAAAAGTTAGAATCAACAGGATTTAGTATTTGATTAGTTAGGAGCGTTAATCTGATGGGTTTTTTTTTGTTTGTTTGGGTTTTTTGTATTTTAGGGAAGGGTCTACAGGGTGTTCAGGGTCTCACTACTAAATCTGGACTTGTAGTGACCCACCTGTTTATACTCTCCCAAAAGCTGGGATTACAGGCATGCGCCACCACACCCAGTCTCAATTGCCATCTCATTGAGCCCTGGGAGTGGGGCCCTCTGCAGGCAGGTCCAGGGATCAAACTCCTGGCCCTGTGCCTGCTTGCAGGCATTTTAATCCACTGAGCCATTTGGCCAGCCCCTGGAGGGTTAATCTGATTTGAGTAACTCAAATTTAATAGTACTTTTATAGAGTTTTCATAGTTAAGTAGAAGCAGTTAAACCAGATCATAAATGATTCCTTGTGTTAACCCTAATGAAATAAACCAAAACAAGAAAACACTAGTATTCAGAGGAAGAAGAACAGCCTAGTTTGGGATGCATATTCACCCACGTTGTGGCAGGAAGGTTGTGCTGGTTCAAATATTAAGATGTGCCCTCTATGACCAGGAAGTAATTACTGTCCAGAGCCATCTGTCCCTCCTGTACTCCGAGACATCCCCAGATGCTACAGTCATTATGGCTTCTGCCTCTAACCTCTACCTTTCTCGTAGAGACCACCCGAGAGACCAGAGGCTAATACCTGGCACAGGGTGTCAGCAGGCCACTGCTGGCTCATTACTCATTTTAATTGATGACATTCCAGAAAGGTAGAACAGCCAACAGTCATCTCTTTAGCCAATGGTAGAAGCGCGAGACAGGCTAACTACTGTATTACTCTATCGCTGGTTTGTGGGGGGGGGGGGTTGAGCTTTACTGTGTATAGTATATAACTTAATTCTAGGAGATGGGTGTGGTGGTGCACACCTGTAATCCTAGCATTTGGGAGGCCAGGCAGGAAGATTATGATAAATTCAAAGCAGCCCAGGTTATATAGTGAGTTCAAGGCCAGCCTGAGCTACATAGTTTGATTCTGTCTCAAAACAAAACCACCAAAAACCTAAAACTTAATTCTAGAAAATTTCTCTGGTAACAAGAAATCAAAATTTAGGATTTGATATGTTAGATTGATGGTTTCAAGCACATTAATGGAAGGCATCGTTACAATTGTTTTAAAATAAGTTTTTGGCTTTTTAACATATTAGCTACTTGGGCCAGCCAGATAGCTCAGCAGATTAAAGTGCAGAGTGCAGGGCCTGGGATTTGATCCTCTGTACCATAAGCCGTGCCAGCCGTGCCCCAGCTGAGGAGGCCATTGACCTGGGTGTAGTGGTGTGCCTGTAATCCCAGTGCTTGGGAGGCTGAAAACAGGAGCTCACTACAAATCCAATCTACATAGTGAGACCCTGTAGACCCTATACTAAATGCATAAAATAAAATAAAATGTCAGATACTAGAAAATTAAAAATGACATTTGTGAAGCTCGTATTTCTAGTGAATAACATTGCTTTATACCTCCTTTTATACTTAGTGGTAAAGAATAAGTAATACCTACTTATCATTAGTCTGTGCACGACCCTGTGTGGCAGTTGTGGGGACAAATTGCTCTGATGGTCTCCAAGACAGCCTGCTATGGGAACAGGGTCCTTGGCCACTACCACCCTCAGTGCTATGGCCCTGTTTTCTTCCCCTGCACCTGACCATTGCTTCTAGCTGGTGACCAGATGACAGAAACACTAGTGCCAACCTTTCCTGCGTGATGAGGGCTTCTTCTAATGAGCAACTTTGACCCAGTACTCCTGGCAGGTCTAGTTAAGACTTAGAATTGTCAGCCATCTAAGGGTCTTCCAACATCCCCTATTTTTCTCAGGTCCTAGGCAGACATTATGACCTGTGTGGTATACCTGTACCTGCTCCTCTATCCCTGGTTTTTCAACAGTCTCTTCCCCAGTAACTCTCTCTCTCTCTCTCTCTCTCTCTCTCTCTCTCTCTCTCTCTCTCTCTCTCGTATTTAGGACAGGTACAGGGGCTACAGGGTCTCACTGCTTAGATTGGACTCTGTAGTGATCCATGTGCTGGGATTACAGGCATGCACCTCCACACCCAGTCTCAATAATTTCTCAGGG